ATGAAATATTATACAGAATTAAGCACACAAAGCGCGATTAGTTAATTTTTTAGAAACTGCAAATCCCGATATGAAAATTTCGAGATTTTCGTTGTACTTATCTTGGCCAATATTTAATTTCGATATTATCTAAGACTATATCGTTAACATTCTTGCACAACTCTTGTAATTCTAGCAATATATGTTAAATGATGTAAATACATAAAATGCTTGCGTCACATTCTTATAATATATGATAATTAGTAGTTTCCTTACCAGTCGCTAAGCACTATTATTAAAGATATAGGAGGTGACGAGAATGAGTACGTTTACGTCAGTCTTTAATTAGAAAAAAAAGTAATGGGGCAGTAAAAAGAAATGGACAACGATATCAACATACAACGCTTCTACAGATATAGTCATTTTAATCAAACTAACACCAGAATGCTTAATGTATGGGGATAAATAATACTAACAGGTTTACATAAATTAGTTGAACTTATTTTTATTTAATTAATTTTTTATGAATTAGTTGAAGAAGAAAGAAGCTTCTAGAGACAAGAAAAGTAAGATAAATAATATATTATTTTAAGTTAGACTGTTTATTGTAGTGTAAAAGTCTTAACACAAGTAAATTGTTGTAGAAAGAATGACAACTAATGTAGGAAGTAACGAAAAAGTAGAACTGTTCAAATTAATATCGGCACGTATGACGATGTGCTTCCGGCGAATCGAACGGTATCGGAAAATGGGGCTAAGCGTTAATGGTAACATTTTTTAGGCCACGACAAACGAGCAATGTACACTTTACACGACAGACAATTGTACTGAATAAACAGTTACAACATTCTTACTAAAATATAACCACTATAGTTATTTTTATTAAAGGTGTTTTCTGAAGAACTCACGTAACTGGATTTATTTTTATCTTCATAATTTTTATCGTCAGTTTGCAATTGTGTTCATCATTCTCGTACAATGAAAACTACTTGCGCGATTAAATGGGAAAAGCGCAGCGTCACGAGGCATTAATATTCAGATCGACGTCTCTGTACCGTATGAGCGACGATTAAAATTATTTTCAGCGATCACGAGTACGGGACCGTGACCCAAATAATGCATATTTTCTATACAGGATAGTAATTAATTATTACAAAAGTCACATTCCTTCTTCGTTAGTTAATAATAACACTTCCGGTCTGAATCTATTAAAAAGATTTATTTCTCTCGATTTCTATATATAATCAAGAGACACTCCACGCTTCGAATCTAGAATATGATAACTGATCTAGATTCGATCTGTGGTATCACATTTTGAGTACTCTTAGTCATCCATGCATTCGCAAAGGAAAACAAGATTATCAAAGCATGTTGGCTACGAATATAGACGTTAGTATACTGTTTTGGTGTACCAATCACTAACATAAGGTAATAAAAATAAACGAATATCGAAGATTCCGGTAAATGTGTCAGATACATTACTGCAACATGGATTACTTATGATAGAGAGAGAATTCCTCGCGAGTTTGCAAAATAAATCTTTATTAATCGTGAACCAGATCGTGAACGCTCTTACAAGGATTTGTAAGCATCGTTTATCATACGTTTCCAAGAGGTTGCATCAACAGTATGTTATTTACAATAATCAGAATCGGAAATAAAAATATTCTTCTCTTATCTTACCGAATACCTTGTCTCTTCGACACGTTAACATAATTTTTATGAGATCTGTTATTATTAGATCGCTATTTTTTATGCAAAGTGAGACATGGTTTCAATTTAATAAAAGTGATTTAAATAGATATTTCTTTCATCATATAAATATGATATATTGCGGATTTTAATATGTTTATATGAGTGATGCATTTAGTATGCTGAAATGTACAAAATATGAGAGAAAAAATGGATGACATGATATTTGATGAGCGTTCAATTTCTTTATAAATTGGCAAAATCCTTATGTTCTCTTGGAACAACTCATTATAATTTTTAATAAAAATATTGATGCTTCCCATTTTCTTGCATAACGTTATTACGCCAATGTCACCATCTACGAACGTTACACAGAAGACGTATCATTATCGCATCGTCCATATGTATTATAATATGTTTCTTGAGAAGTTATACAATGGCGCATATAATAATCAGAGGCTGCTGCTAAATGTTTGCTGTTCTCACCATGTCTACACTTTGTAATTGCACGATGAACAACTAGAAATGTAGACGGCTTCAACCCCTCCTCTTTGATCCCCTCTGATACCCCAGTTCTAATAGCAAGTTCTTTGACTGGCGCCTATCCCTATCTCAATTCTTAGAAATTCAATTAGAAATCTTGGATTAGATAATTTAAGGATGTATTGGCTATACAGTCAATCCCAAAAGTTTATGTACCTTAGAAAAACGCATTTCCTATAATTAAAAAGAAATCAGACGTCGGAAGAATAATGCTAATAATAAATAGCTA